TCATCATTTTCATCATAAAAAAAAATATAGTTTTGTTCAAAAATTCAAATAAAATCAAATTTAAAAAATATATTATTATTATAAAGGAAAAATATATTACTTAAAATAAAAATAAATAATAAATATGTGCATTTGTGTTACGTTACATAGAGCAAATTTGTTTACATGCTAGAGATGTAAATTTAGTTGAGGGATGTCAGGTATGATGGCGCTGATTAGCGAGACTCGCATAAAAAAGTCTCCAATCTCATATATGTGTCATCCACGTGAAAGTAACTTAGTAAATATCCTATTTTTTATTTTAACACTTGTCCTAATAGTGTTGTTTGTCCAATATGCCAAAAAGATCTTAAGGCAAAGAGTATTGAAAGTCTTGCTGAACCTTGTGCTGTACGGAATGAAGCAAAGATCGAACAAGTTGAAGGCCTATTTCTTGGAGGTATTAGTGATGATCATGAAATTGCTCCGGATAAAAAAATGGATCAACCCGAAGAAGATGATGGTTTGATTGTTGATCAGCATCAAGGTCCATCGAATTTCAACCGTTTTCGCTATGATCGAAATGTCCGAATCGCCCGAGATGAAAATTCTGAAAACGAAGTTGAACAATATAGCACGCTGCGTCGATCAAATCGTTCATCGAATAACGTCAATCATTTCAAATTTGGTGTAGTTCAATGTTCAGTTTGTAAGAAATCTTTTTGTGACGTTTCGATTTCACCTGAACTTTATGAAGGAAAAATTGTTTGTTCTTTCAAATGTTTTGGAAAAAAAAATTAATGAACATGTAAAGAGTTTACAAAATATCTATATGAAAGATTTATATTTATTTATATACATATCAAAAAATAAATATAAAGTTCATTAATAAATATATTAATTTGTAGTTTACTTCCTTTTTCTTTTTTAAGCTCGCTAGAAGCCTTGCTAGATGCACAAAGCAGGCCAAATATTGGATAGAAATATCTGATGAACGTAGACAGTGCGTTTTAAAATAATTAAATAATATACTTGATGCTATCAAATTGGTGATTAATGTTATTCTGAAATATTAAATTTTTTATAATACAAATGAAGCAGGCCAGTTGTTTTATCTGCGGGAATACTGACATTGATACTGAATATATTTTATTCTTGATTTTATTTCTTATTTTTACTTGTTTTTTTTTCTTATTACATCTTGTAAAATCTTGAATAGTATTCAGTGAATACACACACCTGTCTTGTCTAGTGTCTTGTTTACATTTACTAAATTTTTAATCTATTCGTGCTCGCTTATGCGCAGAACTAAATTGTACACGCTTACATCGATCGTTGCTAATTTTTTCGCTTCTTTCTGTGATCATCCAAAGGAAGGTAGATTTGCGTACCACCCTTTCAACGCCGTTTTCGTCAATGATATTGATATATGAGTGCTTGCATGGGGGACTATTGTTGATTTCCTCAAACTGGTCTTGTGCAGGAATATAAATCATATCAGATTGAATGTTAGATTCTTGGTTAGATTCAACAGCACCTTCCTCATACTCATAAAAATCGTCATCTTCCATATCAGAGTCTAAGTTTGAAGTAAACTGATACTGATTTATTTCATCAAGGTCAGTACCGGTGCCTGGACCGGTGCTCATTCCCATAAAATCCGCACGTTGCACAGATTCTGCTTTTGCTCTAAGTTTAATGGCATGTATTTCTTCATTAGATGGCAACTCATAAATTTTAGTTTTGGAAGTACGTTTATGAGGAATGATAATTCCTTCGAGATTCAGTTTGCAGTATGCAATTAAATTTTGCACCTCAATCCTACCGATCATGTGTATTAATTCTAGACACGTAAAATTAATTTTGGTGAACTCTGTTGTACCCATTGATCTGAATTGTCTAAATATTCTTTCGCAGGTTTGGCTATCGAAAATAGGTGGTAGGAATAATTCGGGTTTTTTTCGTTCGCGAAATAGTACTATGAGATCAGTTAAGGCTTTTGCGTTAAGCTCGATACAATTGTAGGTGTTGTACGTAATAAAATGGTCTGCAAGTTTGTATAGCTTAGAAGATTTGATGTGGTTGCGCCAAATACGGAGGAAGAAAACGGTACGCCATATTTTCAATAGTCTTTCAGACGGGTTCAAATCAAATTGTAAAAAACTGTCTGCCACATCACGAAATAGTTTCAAGTATTCCACAGTACCGTCACTTTCTGGAATACTTTCACGCAAGGAATCTATGACACGATCTTGACAAACTTTTTCAAATGATCCATAGTTCATTCTATCTACTGGAAAGACATCAGAATACGTAAGGCCATGTACACTTTTATGCACTTTACGTAGCAAATTTTGTAAGTGATCACTCGTTACTTTGAATTTTCCCATTGGCATATTTATACCCTTCTTTATTAGTCGATTACGCCCCTTCGTAGCAATATGTGTGGTATCTTGAACGACTTTGAGACCATTTGATAGTGATGCTTCATGCAACATAGCTGATAATAGTTTGGGATCTCCATCACTTGATATGCCAACTATTTCAATACCGTGTCTAGATAAAATCGTAAATAATAAAATATATTATTGTTATTACAACATTTAACTTGTGTAGAAGTGTAGTACCTTTCAAGCTCAAACTTTGTATGCTTCCATCTCTTAATGATATCACGTGATGTGAATTTGGCATCAGTACCAAACATTTGTAAAATAAATGGGGGCACCCTTTCATCGAGAGCTTGCGCCATAACAATGTATGCGAATTTTGACTTGGTATTTTTACGAACGACTTGATTGTTTCAACGTCTTTTGCAATGAAACTGTGATAAATAAAGAAAAATAAATGGGACATTTGATAAAACATGAATAATAATCTAGATAATAATAGTAATAGCTTTGGAAGTACCTGAATGGAATCGGGCAACCATTTTCGTTGAGCGGTAATACAATACCAACCAGCTGATCTGTTTTCGGATCATAGCTAATTTTTGTTGTCATCGCTGTAGCGTCTTCAGACAACCAAACCGCTTTGGTGCTTTTATGTTCATCTAGAAACTGTGCTAACTCTTTACTTCGTATTTCTCCTTCAACTACACGACATTTTTCTTCACCAATGCAACGAACTAAATTTAAAAAAATGGGTTTCAATTGCAATAACGAAAGCGTGATTAACGGTCTTGCTAGCGGTTTAATTAAAAAAGAATGCAGGAAATTTAGTTGGATTGATTTTTTATTCGAGATATCATTGAAAATATCCAAGAGCATGACAAGCTTCTTTCGAGAAATTGAGCAGTGACCGGTTCGCTCATATTTCTATGCTTGCCTAAATACGCTAGGTAGCATAGATATGCCAAGCATAGCCGCAAACGCAACCGACGCATCGCCGTTCACTCTATATGAACAATACACATGTTCGTTTATGCAGACGACCGCGCGCATACAATATAGCTCGAATCGAATGGTGACGGGTGCGTTGCGGCTTGCGTCTCCGCTATGCTTAGCATAGCTATCAGGCATAGAAATATGCGCGAACCGGTCACTGAAATTGAGAAAATATGAACTAACTTTAAGGCCTGCTGCATATGATATTTTCAAACATTCAACAGACTTTTGATTTGCGCCATCTAAATGACAAAAAATAACAGTTGTATTTCCATTACACACACCATTTAGAAATAAAATACTTCATTAAATGGATAAAATTGTCAAAGTGAATTATGAAGCAGGCCATAAATATGTTTCGCATTTTCATAATTTTTCCAACAGATTGTCTTGTCTAGAATTGTACACTAGATTGTACATCAGTAGTGGTGTTTTCCTCTTTATATGCCTCGATAAATATTCTTACAAACTGTTGTAACTGATGGAAATGGAATGTTTTGACGCAATACTTCATAGCAGGACCTTCCACATAACAGGTATATATGTTGCAAAATATCTAACAATATCCGAGTATTGTGTGTGTTTATTACTGGAGTTCATTCCATTTATCAAAGAAGTATTAACTAACTCCTTCAAAATAGGAGATAAATGAATACTTTCTTGCACTTGTTGTGCCAACATTCTAACGTTATTTTTGTGTTTATTTTGCGCCAGATTTTCACATTGATTTTTATTTTGTACTTGCACTTTTGAAAGTTCCACAATTAGGTCTCTATGTCCCGGCAAAAATTTGAAATCATCTTGATTTTTATAGTATGCATTATGGCAGCAAACAAAATCTTGAACGATATGTCTGAAATTTTCGTTAACATATTTTTCAATTATTTCAACTTTTTCCATAGAAAGACATTTTAAACTTAATAGAGTATCATAGCCGCAAGTGACCAATATTTGTTTTACACAAAATGGAAGGCATTCACCTATAGTACTTTCCACTGATAGCCAATTCATTTTTATTTTTTGTTTCACAGAAAAAAACACTTAAAAATTATTTTAATAACTTCAATAAATAGAAATGGATTACATGCCTGCTTCAAATATACACTTTGAAAGTGTCAACTTGAAACATTTACGTAAACACATTTCGGTTATTCGATCATGCAGTCAATCTGACGTTTGCAATATTTTTGACGTACTAGAGAAATTAGCAAAAAATAGCAGTATTAGAACAAACTAGTAGAAATACTAGCAGAATTAGTGAAAAATAGAGAGAAATATCGTTTATTATTATAAATTATTCGATCTGCAATTCATGGTTATCCCCTAGATTCGTTTGTTGTCATTTCATGTGCCATTTATGTACACACACTCGGGCAAAATTGAATCGTCAAGAATTTGCATAATAACAGACGTTTCTCGTGCGCTCCATTGGTTTCTAGTGCTCAAACTCACTTGAAATACAAATTCTTGATGATATCTTTTCGAATGCAGCAAGACTGATAGCGAGCTTTCACCTAGATATTATAAATACCTAGGGGACATTCGTAGCAATTCTAGTAAGCTAGTTTTATTTACGTATTCGCTAATCGCTTACTAGTATTATTAGTG